CCCATGCTATTATGGCTGAAACGAAAACACAGAATTAGACCAATCTCAGTTTAGAAAATTAATATGTGCACAGCCCTAGTGTCTGCTATCAATGATAGCATGACTATAGTGGAATAGCAGGTTATTCCTCCTCCCCCATTGCTGAAAAATAGCCAGGGAGAAAGTAATGCCCACATCCTAAGACAAGGCATGCTACAGTAATGAGACCAGAAAGAAGTTATGGCAGGATTTTGATATTGCCTTCATGATTTTAGGAGTAGGTGTTCCTTCGCTACTTCGCAGTTCGCTTATTGCAAACTTGCTGTTTCGTGGATTTCAAAAAATATTAATTTAAAATATATATCTTGGTATTTTCGCTGTTTTGTGGGGGTTTGCCGCCGCCGCCGCTCTCCAAGGTGCTTTCCCTCCTCAGTCCTTCCTCCCTCCTTCCAGCCTTGAAGGCCATCTTTTCGCTATCTCCATGCAAACTTATCTCTGTCTCTATACAGCTTCCTCTACCTGTCTGCACTCAATTCCCTATCTGCCTTCTGTCAAAAACAAATCTCAATTGGTTGGAATTAGTTGACATCAATCAGGCTTGCTTAACTTCAACAATTATTGTAATGTACCTTTAAGTCATTTCCAACTTATGGCAACCTACAGTGAATCTGTTATGGGGAATTTTCTTCTGCAAGATTTTTCAGAAAGGGGTTGCCACTGCCTTCCTCTTAGGCTGAGAGAGTGTGATTTGTCTATTTTTCCTATTTTGGTTTTCAAGCCCTGTATAACATTATTAGTATTATTATTACTGACACAAAAACACAGTATGTCACAGCAAACGAGATCTCTATGCTGGATTTCATATCACAAAAGCACAAGTCGAACACTTCCCAAGCGTCAAGGACTAGGTGATGTATTTTCGAATGATGTGTGCAGATCTAAGTAAGGTGGCCTTTTGCAGTTGACAGATCGTGATTTTGTCAATGTTTATTGTTTCCCAATGCCGGCTGCGATCTTCTGACATGGTTGATGACCACCTGTACTGTTTATGGCAGAGCCTTTGAAGTTCAGTTTTGAGGTCCTGATAGCGGCTGAGTTTTTCCTGTTGTTTTTCCTCAATGCGACTGTCATCCGGTATGGCGACATCAATAATCCAAACTTTTTTCTTTTCCACAATCGTGATGTCTGGCGTATTGTGTTCCAAAACTTTGTCAGTCTGGATTCGAAAGTCCCACAGTATTTTTGCGTGTTCATTTTCTACTACCTTTGAAGGTTTATGATCCCACCAGTTCTTTACTACTGGCAAGTGGTACTTGCGACATAAATTCCAGTGAATCATATGGGCCACAGAGTTGTACCTCTGTTTGTAATCCATCTGTGCAATTTTCTTGCAAAGGCTGAGGATATGATCTATGGCTTCATCAGCTTCCTTGCACAGTCTGCATTTTGGGTCATCAGCTGATTTTTCAATCCTGGCCTTAATTGCATTTGTTCTGATGGCTTGCTTCTGGGCTGCAAGAATCAGGCCTTCTGTCTCCTTCTTCAGGGTTCCATTCGTGAGCCATAACCAGGTATTATTATTAATTATTATTATTATTATTTATTCATTTTTATCCCCCTGACTTCAAATTGCCCTCCATCTTTCTCTTTATTAGTCTTTATTTTTATCAGTCTCAAAGATTCTATGGCATTCCATTATTTACTGCAGACATACTCAACCCAATACTCTAGCCATCCTTCTCCACTGTCCTGGTGCTGACACTGCTAAAAAAATCTTCCAGCTAGACAGAGGATAAGGACAAGCTAGACAGGGTTAAATAGTCATTATAAAAAGGAGTTTCACTGCCAGAGGCTTTTAAAACTGGGATATGCCTATATTTTCTTTGTTTATATGATGCCTTTCCCTTCAAGCAAGGGCACTAAGTGACTCAACTGGAATGGAAGGCATCATTATGACAATGTCCCCTTCCTTGCCTAAAACCTTGCTGCAGACCTTTGGCCAGTGAGGTGGTTTCCTTGTATGTAATCCAGACTCCACCATCCCACCCCACCTCCCTGGCTGGGACATCAAATTATAACTCGGCATGAGGGCCACTTGTGTCCTTCCAAATGATAGCCACTGCCATACCAATGGGAGGAAAGCTGGAAGCTGTATTCCAATAAGGAATTAACCTAAGTGGCTCTCTGCTACTATAATCAAACACCGCCTTGAAACATCTGCAACAAAAGACAGGTTGAGCATCCCTTGGGACCAGAAGTGCTTGGGATTGGGGATTTTTTTCAGATCTTGACATACCTGTATTTGCATGTATGCCCATAATGACGTAGCTTTGAAACGGGACCCAAGTCTAAATACAAAATTAATTGACATTTCATATACACAGCTTAAAGATAATTTTACGCATACTGTTTTTCATAATTTTGTGCATAAAGCAAACATAGCCTGTAGTGAACCACTAGAACCATGCCTCTTAAACATGGCCACACAGCCCAGAAAACTCACAGCAACCCAGTAACTCCAGCCATGAAAGCCTTCGATAACACATTAATTGACATAGATCAAAATCCTTTAAACAGGCCTATTTACCTTTTTGCTACCTCAATGACTTTATAAACTGCTGTGCATGTTAGTTACCATGAAAAGGATGGTAGAAATTCTTAGTGATTCTGCCTTGGCCTAGCTCAGGCCTCTTCTGCCATATGAAATCCAGATTATCTGTTTTGAACTGGATTATATGGCAATGTAGACTCATACAATCCAGCTCAAAGCAGATAATGTGGATTATCTGCTTTGATAATCTGGATTATATGGCAGTGTAAATATCATTATGGCCAATTTTGTTTAAATGTTAACCAAAGGTATGTTTCATGCACTATAATAATTGAGGTCTTCTAAATAGCTAACAAGAGTAAATATTGCAGATGGGCACATTCAGCAGTGGGACATGCTGCCTCGAAGTGTGATGGGGGCTGGATCCTTGCTGCCATTTAATCCAGTTTCTGAATCTGCTTTGAACTGAGTTATATGTTGTAACTCATAGTTATATCTTACAAATATGTAACAAATTTTGAAAAAAATGTTCCTGGTTTGAAACTCTTATTTTCTGTTTAATTGTGAGGTACTTACTTTGAGCCATTCCAGACAGGCCCTTTATCCCAGGATCTGATCCCAGGTGTGGACTCAGATAACCCAGTTCAAAGCAGATATTGTGAGATTTTCTGCCTTAATATGTGCGCATTCAGAAGAAGACCTACAAGTCACTCTAAACATCTTTGCAGAAGCATAGGAGAAGCTCTGCCTGTCATTGAACATCAAGAAAATCAAAGCGCTCTTCCAGCAGTCACCAGCCAATCCCTCTCCAATGGTGTAACATTAGAAAATGTTGACAATTTCCGCTACCTTGGCAGCCACCTCTCCACAAAAGTCAACATTGGCACTGAAACACAACACCGCCTGAGCTCTGCGAGTGCAGCATTTTCCCAAATGAAGTAGAGAGTCTCTCAGTTCTTGTGGGTTTTTTCGGGCTATATGGCCATGTTCTAGAGGCATTTCTCCTGACGTTTCGCCTGCATCTATGGCAAGCTTCCTCAGAGGTGAGGTCTGCTGGAGCTGGGAAAAAAGGGGTTTATATATCTGTGGAATGACCAGGGTGAGACAAAAGGCTTTTGTAAGTTGGGTTAGGTGTGAATCTTTCAATTGACCACCTTGATTAGCATACAATGGGCTGACTGTGCCTGGAGCAAACTCTTCTGTAGAAGAAGTAGAGAGTGTTTGAGGACCGGGACATCCGTAGGGATATCAAGATGCTTGTTTATAAAGCTATTGTCCTCCTAACCCTGCTATACGCCTGCGAGACATGGACAGTGTACAGACGTCACATGCAACTCCTGGAACGATTCCATCAGCGCTGCCTCTGGAAAATCCTACAAATCTCTTGGGAAGACAAGTGGGCAAATGTCAGCATGCTGGAAGAAGCATAGACCCCCAGCATTGAAGCGATGGTCCTCCAACATCAACTCCACTGGACCAGCCACATTGTTTGGATGCCCGACCATTGTCTCCCAAAGCAGTTGCTCTACTCCAAACTCAAGAACGGAAAATGGTTGGGCAGGAAAAGAGATTCAAAGATGGGCTCAAAGCCAACCTTAAAAACTCTGGCATAGACACTGAGAACTGGGAAGCCCTGGCCCTTGAGCGCTCCAGCTGAAAGTCAGCTGTGACCATCAGTGCTGTAGAATTTGAAGAGGCATGAATGGAGGGCAAAAGAGAGAAATGTGCCAAGAGGAAGGCATGTTAAGCCAACCCCAACCAGGACCGCCTTCCGTCTGGAAACCAATGCCCTCACTGCGGGAGAACATGCAGGTCAAGAATAGGGCTCCACAGTCACCTACGGACCCACCACCAGAACACTGATCTTGGGGGACAGTCTTACTCAAGACGAGGGATCGCCTAAGTAAGTAAGTAATATCCCAGAATATCAAGGCAGAAAATCCCACAATATCTGAGTATTGACTCATGTACAGTTCAAAGCAGATAATGTGGGATTTTCTGCCTTGATATTCTGGGATATAGGGCTGTGTGGAAGGGCACAGAGTTATTTGAGTCCACACTGCCTTATATTGTAGTTCAAAACAGATAATGTGGGGTTTTCTTCAGGTGTGTTAGGGGTCAAAGGGCCCTTCCACACAGCCCTTTAGCCCAGAATATCAATGCAGAAAATCCCACAATATCTTCTTTGAACTTGGTTATCCATACTCAGATAATGTGGGATTTCCTGCCTTGATATCTTGGGATATAGGGCTGTGTGGAAGGACCCTTAGGCCCTTAATACTCCTGAATAAAATCCCACATTTAGCTGTTTTGATATTCTGAGTTTGGAAGGAAGAGGACTTCCTAGAGGCGCCTCCCTTTCTTTAATCGAGGCAGGGACAGTCCATCCACGGGGCAGGGGCGTGGCTATCCCGAGGTGGGCGTGGCCTCCCCGCCCTGAAGCGTGGCTCCGCCCCCTTTCCCCGCGCAGCCGGCAACCTACCTGCCGCCAATCGGGGACGGAGGCTGCACAGCGGAGGGCGACCCTCCTTCTCTCGCCTGCCCGCTTGCTTGCTTGCTTGCTTGCCGGTCCAGATCTGGGGGCATCCCTGGGGCCAAGGTCAAGGTAAGCGGGGCGGCTTTGGCTAGCTTCTTCCTCGCCCGGCTGGGAAGCTTGCTTGGTTGAAGAGAAGCCACCAGAGTTTGGTTTGGGTGTTAGCTCTTCATAGAATCTTAGAGTTGGAAGAGACCTCATGGGCCATCCAGTCCAACCCCATTCTGCCAAGAAGCAGGAAAATCGCATTCAAAACACTCCCGACAGATGGCCATCCAGCCTCTGTTTAAAAGCCTCCAAAGAAGGAGCCTCCACCACACTCCGGGGCAGAGAGTTCCACTGCTGAACGGCTCTCACAGTCAGGAAGTTCTTCCTCATGTTCAGGTGGAATCTCCTCTCTTGTAGTTTGAAGCCATTGTTCCATTGAGTCCTAGTCTTTTGCACTTTTCCAGGTCGGACTGGTAAACGGATTGGAAGGGGAAGGGAGGTGCATCTTCATTGCAGTTTGGCACCAATTTAATCCTCGATGCTCTCTATAGGGAGTTGGTGATGCACCCTGTAAAACCTTGTAAAACCCCATCTCTCATGACCCTATGGGGATGACAAACTGCGCCAATGTATTGATGAAAGCTTTCATGGCCGGAATAACTGGGTTGCTGTGAGTTTTCTGGACTGCACGCGCGTGTTCCAGAAGCATTCTCTCCTGACGTTTCACCTACATCTATGGCAGGCATCCTCAGAGGTTGTGAGGTCTGTTGGAAACTAGGCAAGTGGGGTATACATATCTGTGCAGGCATATAGCTGAGTTGTATGTGAGAAGGCCTTACTGGTACATTATTTAAACTGTTATTTATTTATTTACGTCATTTATATGCCGCCCTTCTCATCCCGAAGGGGACTCAGAGCAGCTTACAAGATATATTTTCATACAATATATTATATTGTTAGCATAGTACAATATCAGTATTATATATTACTATATTGCACTATACCATTATATTGTAATATTATTAGTAGTATTACATGTAATGTAAATATATAATTATAATTATAATATTGTATTATTATTACTAATATTATATTGTATTATTATTATTATGTTGTATTATTATTATATTGTATGTTGTGTTTATTCATATGATCTGATCACCATGCTCAATATATCCCATATGCATGGGGGTATTGGGATAACGATACAAAAGGTTTGCTAGGGTAGATCCTCAGACCCCCTTCCCAAATCAAACAAAGCCCCCGAACCGAAGCAAATTAACCCCCCCCCCCCCCAAATCAAAATCCTGGCTATGGGTTTGTATCTGAGGAATGTCCAGGATGGGAGAAAAGCTCATAAACCCAATTTTCCTAGTTTCCAACAGACCTCACAACCTCTGAGGATGCTTGCCATAGATGCAGGCAAAACGTTAGGAGAGAATGCTTCTAGAACATGGCTACATAGCCCAAAAAACCTAGAACAACCAAGTAACTCCAGCCATGAAAGCCTTCAACAATACATAGAACTCTTGTTGGATGCAAGTGTGAATGTTACAATTGGCCAAATGTGGAGAATTTCAACAGAAAGGAGGAAACCATGAAAATGAACAAGATCTGGCTAACAGCATTTTAAAAACTCTAAGATCGGGACAGTAAATAAAGAGCAACACTAAAAAAACAGCGGAATTCCAGAAAAGAATCAATCAGGGCCAGCTAATACCTCCCAACAAAGGATTCCTTCCAAGCAGGAATCAGCCAGGCTTTCAAGCTGCAAGGCTATTCAGTGCTAATCAAGCTGGCCAATTGCAACATTCACACTTGCCTCCAACAGACAAGAGTTCTTTCTCCCACCCTGGACATTCCACAGAGATATAAACCTCACTTGCCAGACTGCCCAACCTCTGAGGATGTCTGCCATAGATGTGGGTGAAACGTCAGGAGAGCATTATTTATTTATTTATTTATTTGCGACATTTATATGCCGCCTCTTCTCACCCAAAAGGGGACTCAGAACGGCTTACAAGTAATATGTAAATACAATATATTATATTATTATCATAGCACAATAGTAGTATTATATATTACTATATTGTTCTATATCATTATACTGTAATATTATCAGTAATATTACATGTAGTATAAAATATATAATTATAATATATTATTATTAGTATTGTATTGTATTACATTATAATATTATAAATATTATATGTATATAAATATATTATATTATATTATATTATATTATATTATATTATATTATATTATATTATATTACATTATATTATTAGCACAGTGCAGGAGATAAGATGGAACTGTCTTCCTGGCCCCTCTCTTCATTCTGGTCTAGAATGCTTTTGGAACATGGCCATACAGCTCAGAAAACTCACAACAAGCCCACAAACTGCACTGATTCTACAGTGGAGATACATCCTTAGGATGCACCAAGTCACCCTTCCTCAGGCCCTAGCTACACTGCCATATGATCCAGTTTCTGGATCCAGATTGTCAGTTTTGAACAGGATTCTGTGTGTCTACACTTACAGGTAGAATCTGGATTATAGGGCAGTGTCCATGTGGCCCCAGATTCCTTGCTCCAGATTCTGAGGTTTACAAACTGCCCTGACCTGGCCACTCCTGCTCCAGATCCCTTCTATACAGCTGAATAGAATCCCACATCATCTGCTTTGAACTGGGTTATATGGCAGTGTGGACTCAGATCACCCAGTTCAAAGCAGATATTGTGGATTATCTGGCTTGATATTCTGGGTTATATGGCTGTGTGGGATGGACCTGAGAGGAGCTGGCTTGGTTGTGCTGCTTATCGCCCCTTTCCCACCTATTCTCATTAATCAGGGTTTGGGAAGTCTTCCAGACAGACCCTATATCCTAGGATCTGATCCCAGGTTTTCTGCTTTAAACTGGATTATATTAGTCCACACTCCTAGATAACCTGGGACAAACAGGGCTTAGGGGCCCTTCCAGACAAGCCCTATATCCCAGGATCTGATCCCAGGTTTTCTGTTTAGCCCAGATTATCTGGCAATGCAGACTCATATAATCCTTTTTAAAGCAGAAAACCTGGGATTGGATACTGGGATATAGGGCCTGTCTGGAAGGGCCCTGTGTGTCACTTGTCATTCTGCACTTAAAAAAAAAACAAAAACAAAACCTGTCCTTGAAAATGCCAGGGGCATTTTTGCTGATTGTTTTCCAGTGGTGATTTCCCCCAATTTCTAGAGTTTTGTGAGCTTAAGGATAGTCATTTGATCTAATGGATATAAGCTTCCCAGGAACTCACTTGGATAGTGATGGGGATCACATAGCTGTCCAGGTGGTGCTGGAGTACAACTCCCATCAGTCCCAGGCAACACCCCCAATCAGCTAGTTGTCTAGTTTCCTTGGCCTTCCAGTTGTTGTTGGACTTCCTAGCCACCATAGTTAATGGTGAGGTTAATGGGAGTTACTAAATAACAGAGGACTGTAGCTCACCCAGCCTGTTATTTTGTTGTTTTTTTAAAAGAATATAGTCTAAAATGACCTTTGATGGAGCGCCACCATCAGCTCAGTGTGGCCGAGTTGTATCTCCTTCGCTTGACAAAACTCTCCAGGATTTCAAATGGGAATTTTCTCCAGCCATATCTGGATGTATCAGAGATTTGAACACAAGTCTTAACATGCTGTGCCCAAGAAGTGCAGTTCCCCCTTGTGTGTGGCCCCAATTCTATTGAAACAGCATACTTTCCGGGTTGTTGTAAGTTTTTTGGGACTATATGGCCATGGTCCTGAAGCATTCTCTCCTGACGTTTCACCTGCATCTATGGCAAGCATCCTCAGAGGTAGTGAAGATGCTTGCCATAGACGCAGGCGAAATGTCAGGAGAGAATGCCTCTAGACCATGGCCATATAGCCCGAAAAAACCTACAACAACCCAGTGATTCTGGCCATGAAAGCCTTCGACAAGAGCATACTTTCCCATTATTGCTTTCAAGGGCCCTTCCACACAGCAATATAACTCAGAATATCAAGGCAGAATAACCCACAGTATCTGCTTTGAACTGGAATATCTGAGTCCACACTGCCATATATTCCAGTTCAAAGCAGAAAATGTGGAATTGTATTCTGTTGTGTGGAAGGGGCCCAAAGCAGAGTTTGGACAGTCAGACAGATTTGCCAAGCAGAAGGGAGGAAAGCTGTCCCCAACTGTAAGTCTTTCTCTAACACTGCAATTGAAGGTGATCTGTCTCTTAAATAAAATATCTGGCCAAGGTGTCGTGATTTCTGGACTTAGAGAAATATGATCCCAGGTGCGGATCTGAAAGTACTTTAGCTGTGCCTGTCTGCCAGCTGGGAGCAAGGGCATAAAATATTTACAAGCAAGTGATTTCAGTTTCACAAAGATGCAGTGACCAGGCCCGGCTTGTTTTTGTTTTAAATCCAGTTGTTTAGTAAAAACAGGACTTAACACCCTGCCTGCACTTTAGCTATATATGTGTGTGTTTACGAGGTATTGTCCAAAAGCACGTATCTGCACGAGTGGAAATGTTCAAGGCCGACCCTGCCATTGTGCAGAGAGAAGCCGGTTGTCCAAGGTAGCAAAGTTGGGCTGCAATGAAAAGACATCAAATCCTTGCTTGTTTATTTTGTTATCATTGTATTACACAGTGAGCAGATGAGGGGGAATGGTATTTGTGGTATTTGGTTCTGGTGCCAAAATAACTTAGGCCCTTCCACGCATCTGAATAAATTCCCACATTATCTGCTTTGAACTGGAATATATGGCAGTGTGGACTCAGATAACCCAGTTCAGATATTTTGGATTTTCAGCCTTGATATTTTGAGGTATATGTCTGTGTGGAAGGGCCCTTAGAAGGCCTTGAAAACTATGGGTTAAATCCATTTCTCATCCTGATTAAACTTGCTACATTCATATAAATAGAAACTTATATAAGTGATGCTTTACAAGTCACATTTATTTCCATTCTATTCTAGTAAGATCTACCATGTCTCTTGATCTAGGGCAGTGGTTCCCAGCCTTTTTTTGATCTGGGACCACTCTCCAACATTAGTACCAAAAGTTATCC